ATCTAGTATATCTAGTATACTATGTATATATAGTATATCTTAAGATGTATATATAGTATATTTTAAGATGTATACTATTTATATATAGTATAGTATATATATATATATATATATATTTTTTTAAGATGTATATATAGTATATAAATCGAATATAGCTTATATATCTTTATTACTATTTTTTTTCTCTAACTTCTATAAAAAAAAAATTAAAAATAGAAAGTTTTTGTTGGGCCCGTTTAGGCCAGGGACCGGCTCACTTAACCCGGGACCGTTAGTTCGTGGTCCCGGTCCCGAGCCGATTCCAGCAATAAGCCCGCGAAGCCCGGGACCGTTTAGAACCGGACCACTTAGGACCGGCCCGCTTAGGACCGAGCCCACGAAGCCCACTTAAGATCGGGCCCGGCTCACTTGCCAACCTTATTGCCGCCCTTAGAGTGGACCAGGTGGAGCAAGAAATAAAGGCGGCAAAAACGAAGGTTGGATCTGCCGTTTTCGTCAACAATGTGACCGGAAAAAAAGCAACAAAATTCTGCTGGTGTAAAGGCAGCAATTCGGAAAAATCAACGACGACGTAGAGTCATCGGCCGACCAGTGGGAGGAGCTGCACCAGCAAACGCCGCCTCCTTCTGGCGTCTCTCACATTGTTATAACCGTTACGTACAATGCACAAACTATAACCAATTAAACTTAGCCTCTTCAATTCTGTGAAAAATATACAAAAAAAAACCCTACCTCTTGACGCCTGCAATCGAGGATCGATTGAAAATTGAAGGATTGTGTTGGATAAAATATCAGGTAATTACAGCTGAAATTAAAAGAATGAAGGCGAATTGGGAGATTAAGGATTGTTGTAACAACGATCAAGTCATCTTTCTTGTCACCATTGGTGTTTATACCGTCTTCATTTTTATCGTAACCTTCTCTCTCTCTACTTCTCCTTTTATATCTTAATTACGTACGTAATTTTTGTCATGGAAAATAATATTGCTTTCTATTTGAATTTTGACTATTCAATAATTGACTGATTCTTCCTTTTGTACTCATTTTTGCTTGTAATTCCTTTTAATAATTGAATAACAGCTATGGAGAACATTTATTATAACACCTTTCAAGCTCATCACTGTGTTTCTTCATGAACTAAGCCATGCAATTGCTTGTAAGCTCACATGTGGTGAGGTAATAATCTCTCTCCTCTACACTTTAGATGTAAAATGATTTTGGAATCTCATCAAAGCTTCTGTACTTCTACTCGGATATCAATCCAATTCCATTCTAATAATAAGTGATAGTTTTCAGCTTCACTTCAATGTATATATATGTTCTGCAATTTACTAGCATTTGGTTAATTGCTTGCTCTCTGATGTTTAGACAGAGAAATATAGGTGTCAGTTATTTCAGAAACTCTAAAGACTCAATTTATATCACATGTTAACATTCACTTTGAACTGTTGTGCAGATCAAGTTGAACCTAGACTAGATATTCCAACATTGTAGTTGTAGATGAATTTGACCATTTTCTGTTTTGGTTCAAATTTCTCTATTATTCCCTTATGTTTTGAGCATGGCTACTTGATACTTAAATTCATGCATGAACTTAACAACTTCTTATCTTGAGAAGCCCTTTGAGTGTTAATCTTGCAGAGATTTTCGAGTTCCAGAATTTCTCAAGAAGTCCTATATACTTTAAAAGATCTACTAATTCATAATGATAAGTTTAGAGGAAAATATTATGGTAGGATCAATATTAAAATGAGACGGAACTAATATTTCTCTATAGTATAACCTGTATTATACCCCTAGAAGCTTTCATCTTTAGAAAGGTGCACTAGTGGGATAATCCATAAAGGAAAAATAGAACTCTGTTGGGACAAAGGAATCGTCTTTATACACTGTATCAATGAATTAGCTATAAAACCTTAATGAACTTCTATTATTTCCTTCCTTTCTTTTATTTTTCCAAGAATTAGCATATTAAATACACGACAAACACCGTGATGGCTTAGTTGCAGAACAAGAAAGGATTAACAAGATGTGAGGAACTTAAGAAATGGTTTAGTAGTAAGTATTGAAGGTGTTAGGATCGGGAACCCGGGTAGTGCGGAATATAGCCAAACAACGGTATAATGGCAATAACAAAGATAATGAAAGTTGATAACAACGACAATTAAAGTAGATAAAAAAGACACAAATTTAACGTGGTTCGGTCAAAGTGACCTACGTCCACAAGCGGAGAGGAGCAATTTACTATAACAATAAGAGAACAAAAGAGAGTACAAAATTAGAGTAAACACTCTAATTAATCCCAAATACCCTAAGAGAATAACCTCACAAGATCACTCCAAAGAAAGGGTTCACACAAGTGCTTCCCAACACTAACTCTCATACAAAACACTCTTAATAAAGGAAGAAAGGAAGAAACAAGAATTGAAGACAAGTCTTGTTGGTGTGTTTCCAAATGAGTAGAGAGTCCTCGTTATATAGAAAGAGAAGAAAGAAATGCTTGGCCAACAATTGGCCACATCCTCTCAAAATACAAGGCCATTTATTTGGCCAACAAGGCCTTAAATAAAAGGCTCCAAATGTGCCAACAAAGCTCACAAATAAAAAGCCTAAAAATAAGGCCACCTTTTACAAATCTCCACCTTGGCCTAATTTTGGCTGATATAGTAAATTTGCTTCACCTTCTCCGCAAAAGCCTCAATGGGCATATGTCAAAATTTAATGCCATCAAAATCAGACAAGTTGTTTGATACCAAAACTGCAGTATGGCCTATAACAGTGGAGCTCAATAAAGTATACAACGAACCAGATCTGTGTGCTTTCATGATTACAAGAGCATCTTGAAAAACTTTTAAAACTCCACCTTCACTAGTGAATTTGCACCCAAGGGATTCTAAAGTTCCCAAAGATATGAGATTTTTCTTCAACTCAGGAACATATCTAACATCGGTGAGAGTTCTCACCACATCATCGTGCATTCTAAACCGAATTGTACCTTTGCCAATAACGTTGCAAGTAACATTGTTACCCATTTGGACAACTCCACCTGCAACTGAATCATATGTAGAAAACAAGTCCCTGCTAGGACACATATGATATGAACAACCGGAATCTAAAATTCACTTATTGTCTAATCTGAAACTAGTTTCAGTTGCTAAAAATATAGTTCCTTCAATCTCATCAGTTGCTACACTTGCTTCGACAGTGTCAGTATTTTTGTGCTCATTTTTCCTTTCCTTATGCTTTTCTTTATTTTTCAGCTTATAGCATTCAGAGATATTGTGACCTTTCTTATGACAATAGCGACACTCTAAATTATTATATCTGGATATTGAGTCGGATTTGCCCCTAACAAACAAGCCAACTTCCGCTTAAGTTCCACTAGTTTCCCCAGTAATATCACTATCTATCTGTTCTTTTGATTTTAAGATAGATTTAATATCCTTATAAGAGATATTATCCTTTGCATAAAATATAGTATCTCTTATATGCTTAAAAGATGGGGGTAGAGAACAAAGCAGTAACACGGCTTGATGCTCGTCTTTAATTTCAGCATCTATATTAATCAAATCCATAAGAATGGAATCGAAAGTGTCAAGATGAGAGAGAATAGAGGTACCTTCACCCATACGAATTGTGTAAAGCTTCTGCTTCAGGTAAAGTCTATTTTCCACTGTCCTCTTCATATATAAGGTTTTCAATTTTTCCCACATACCTTTAGCTGTGGTTTCTACATAAACTTCACATAAAACCTCATTTGAGAGATTTAAAATGATACCTGCTTTTGCCTTTTTGTCTATGATGGCAAACTCTTCATCCGTCATTTTATCCGGCTTCTTCTCCTTTCCTTGTAACGCCAAGTCTAAGTCATCATGAATTAGGATAGCTTCCATCTTTAATTGCCAAATTCCGAAGTTTGCACTTCGATCAAATTTCTCAACATAGGTCTTTGTTAGAGTTATTTTGGCTATTGAAACTAACCCGGTTAGATCCGGCTCTGATACCAATTTGTTAGGATCGGAAACCCGGGTAGTGCAGAATATAGCCAAACAACGGTATAATGGCAATAACAAAGACAATGGAAGCTGATAACAACGATTTGAGCACTTGATGTGCAATTTGTGATATGTTGTATGATTTGAGCACTTGATGTGCAATTTGTAAAATGTTGTGATATTTGGGCACTTGATGTACAAGTTGTATTATCCGTTGGAGACTATCAAGGTAGCTGCTTGAAAACCGCATACTTGATTCCCTTCATGTTTAGTTATTGTACTGTTCTATATTTCAGGCAGTGATTTTTACCAGTCAGACTTTGTATTCATTTAGATGCTCATGTACTCAGNAAAATGTTGTGATATTTGGGCACTTGATGTACAAGTTGTATTATCCGTTGGAGACTATCAAGGTAGCTGCTTGAAAACCGCATACTTGATTCCCTTCATGTTTAGT